CTTAAAAGCCTCTAAAATATGGATCATATTTCGATGCAGTGTTTAAAACAATCCAAGTAAGTCGATATAAAAAAAGTTTAGAATTTAAGTCAATAAGACTCTCATTCGAAACGGTAAAGAGAGGCACGACATCATAAATAATACAGCTGCAGTAGGAGCACAGAGCAATTGGAAATAAACAAATTATGCCTAACAAGTAACTGTTTAGCACGTGACTATAGCATAAACTAACATAACAGGTTTTGCTGCACGAAAAAGTTGTTAAGTCTATTATATAGCCAACCACACAAAATATAATATATAAATCTATAGAAATTAATATCATAAAAACTTACTTCTCTTTAAAATAGCACCTTCTTTCTTAAACTGCTGAATTTCAACATCTTTACGTGTAACAGCGTCTCTCAACTCAACAATTTGCTCGCTTAAACTGGCAATGGTTTTAAAGAGTGGCACCATCAATGAATATTTATGCTAAAGAGGAAAACATATTAATGACATGCGATTGGAAAATACAACTAAAATAGCTTACCTCCTCTTCAGCTTGCTTTTTGAGATAGAAATTAAAGTTAAATGGACACTTACGTATCATATATTTTAATTTCAAACCTTTCGAATCATCATGCTCATCTAACCAAATTTCATCATCCGGTTGTCGCTGTGTCAATGTGTCACAAACCGTTTTTTCATCAAAGCGTATACGTTTGTTCAACTCCTTTAAAGAAAGTAAACAATAATTTCATAATTATAAATAAATTAATTAATTATTTTAATATTGCTTTTGTCAAACCTTAACGCGATTCATAACTTCAGAGATTTTTAATTTCTCAGCATAAGTCTCATCCATGTTGGTAGCTTTGTATTCCATTGTATCACCATTTACAACACAAAACATTATAAACTGACCATTTTCAGTTTTAATGTTAGCCATGCTGGCTCCAACTAGAAAAGGAATATTAAATTTTTTAAATACATATATATTCCAATTTGTATGTTTTATATGTCTTACCATGAATTATTTTATGTTTTATCCACATTTTTAAATGTATGAATACATTTATTGTTTAGTAAGAAGTAAAATAAATGTCAAAGTGACAAGTGAAAAGTCTGATTGAAGCGAATATTAAGAAATTGCCTTTGGAGCTGGCAGCACTGTTTGTGCTACCGTATGCATACCGTTTGTGCTTGTATGCGGAATTTATATATCAATATAATTTTTAATAATAATAATAATCAAAGCATAATTTATTTGAAATATATATCGACCGAGTTTACTTTATATAGCGTTGTACTATAAAAGCAACAATGGTTTTAACTTCTCTACACTACATCACAAAATACATTCTTATAAGATATTCGTTTTTATTGTATTTTAATAAATGTGTAACATATTTTTTTCAGAAACTACAGGTTATATACACGTATATATGTGAAATCAAAATATATTTGTTAATTAGAAGCTTTCATGTTACGCATTCTGTATTAAAGATTTCATATGTGACAAACATCAGACGAGTTTTAGAGCGAATATTTGACAAAGAATCAAAACAAATTACACAAAAAAAAAATTAAAGTACAGAAATAAATATACAATGTAAAAGTTACCGCGTGAAAATTAATTAGAAAATCATATAATAAATACAATGATAATAATAACAACAACAAAAACAAAAAGAGAATATGTATTTTATAATTTTTATCTTGTTTTGTTTTTGTTATTGTTATTATTATTATTGTATTTATTATATGATTTTCTTATTAATTTTGTAACTTTTATAAATTTTACATTGTATATACGTTACTTTTCCGGAAGATGACTATCGAAGATATTCGAAATATCGGAAACTTTCTTAATAAAATAATTTGTTTTAAATATAAATAATAAATTATAGTTTGTTTTTTATTTAAATGACCAATAAGCCCGCTCTTAAATTATTGTTTAAGAAAATATATTTATTACATTGTTTGTTTGGAATTTTAAACTTTACAATAAAAATTTTTAACAAATATATTTAATAAAGTTAAGTATTTTATCAAAAAAAAAGATAATTAATTACGTTTTATAAGATTGTTGGCATTAATATCGGGCGAAAAATTGATTCCACACAAAGAATTTGTCGCTATACTATTTGGGAGCGTTTTGTTACTTCAAAAGATTTCGCAGATCTGGCAATATTGGCTTAGTTGAATTATGCGAACCGTCAAATCAGAACAAGAGCGTTTGTGAGTAAAGAAGAAAAAGCATGGGTTTTAAAATTATTAAATTTATCTGGCAGAGAAAATCTTATTGGAAATAGATTCATAAATATTCAAAAATGTTGCAATCCAATATAAATAGTTAAACCCTCCATAGCAATAGCAATTATATGAATATCCGATAAATTATTAAATATATAAATATAAAATATATTAAATAATTTAATATATATAATACGAAATTAAATAATATAGCAATAATATTAATTCGCGATACTCGAGTAAATTCTCATAAGAAAGCAAAACATAAATATTTTAATATAATATAGTGTTAATTAAAATAATTTTCAATTTAAGATTATTTAAAATTATTACTTACCTTAAATTTAAATCCTTTTAAAATGTATTGTGCAAAAAAAATATATTTTAACTGATAGCATCAACATATATTTTCTTCAATAAAAACTCTATAACTTGAAATAATGACAAAAATTTTATTTATCAAAGCAAAGTTGATTAATAAAGTATTGGAACATTTTTATTAATGCAATATATAAGCATTTTTTAAATAATTTTCCTAATTAAACTGAATCTCACAAATAACAAATTCCTTAAATGTTGTTATTATCATAAGTCCTATAGTTCCACTATTACTAAAAAAATTTAGGTCCTTCTCTCTTGCAAAATTGCACAGACAGGACGTAAACCACTCCTGAAATCATTATATATGGTATTCTCAGCAGATTTTCTGCTTTTCCTTTCCAGTATTTATAATAAAATTAAATGAACTAATATTGTTTTTCTTACTAAAACGAAAATTTTTTTATTCAAGCAAATTTCAAAAAATAAAATTAAAAAATTAAGATCTTTAATATTTTATTTTCTTTAAAGTACATAATTTATCTAAATATTATTTGTTTTATACATACAGACTTATAAAGAAATTAACTATTACATAAGCACTTTAAAATATATCATTTAATTTTATTAAATATATTATATACAAAACGAAATTTATTTATTGGAACAGAAAATTTAATTAATTACTTTATAAAGATAATATTTTAAAACCTATTTTTAAGTTAATATATTTTTTTATTAATTAAATTAATATAGATTTTGAGCACAAAACCTTATAAGGAATTTATATTTAATTATTTATGTATTTACATATTTCCCTATATACCTAATATCAAATATTTCTCTTATGGAACAGCAAATAATTAACTATTAAATTAGACTAATGTAAATAAATATTGTTGCAGTAATTATACTTAATACACATGTTATCTGTATATAATACGATTATATTTATATATTTAATATTAAAATAAAAATTATACTAGCCTCACACTAGATAATAAGAAAAATACTAAATTGTCTTTACAAGAATGTCTTTTAAATTTTCCATCAGTTTATGTGAATGCATTCATGCGTTAATAATACAGCAAAGTAAACTAAAGAACTATATATAATACTCCTTTTTATAATATCGTCTAGATTTAGATTTGCGGGCGTGCCCATAACTCACTGAGATCTTTCGGACGTATTTTACCAATTTCTGTAAGAGATAAATAATTTAGTTTAGATTATCTATATATAGTAGCTATATTAAAAATAAACGCACCTAACTGCCCCGGCAGCAAAACACCAGAGTCACGCTTTGAAGTTGGCCAAGTAACATCAAATCGAGGCTGTAGTCCTATGGGTGTGGATGTTGCAGCACGAAAAGTTGAATTGCTTTATATAAGAAAAAAGTTATATGAGTACTTTAGAGTACATAAAATATATTAGTATATTTATGTTACCTATATGGATGCTTAAGACAACCGTAGACTTCTCTGTAACGGCCATATAAAGTTCCATAGGAAACACCCAAAATACGTGCAGCTTTTTTCATTTCAAGTCTTTTATTTTTAATCGCATCTAATACCTATAAAATATACGATATGTGAATTATAAAATAAAATATATGAATTATTTGATTAATTATTTTTAAAACTAACGAATCAATTTGTGTTAATGAATCGAGAAAAAAGTCGAACTTTTTAATGAACCAATAAATATTATAACTCTCTCTTGTTCTTTCTCCCACACCATCACTCTTTATGCCTCGTTCTCTTACTCTTATTTTGTCTTATTACGTTTCTCCCACTTTCTCTCGCATTTTGTATATATCCCCCTTTATTTTCTCAGTCTTTCATTAATCTTTTTTGTCTCACTTCTAATCGTTCACTTATTATTTCGCCATTTTGATATCCCCTTTTTTTACTATCTCTCCTTTTTACCATCTCTTCCTTTTAATATCTCTCCCTACTTCACTATTTTTATCTATTTTTCTGTCCTTCTCCAATTCTTTCAGTTCTTATCTTTTGCTTACTATATTTCTCTTTTAGTCTTTCATTCTTACCATCTCTCTCCTTTCCTATCTCTCTGTTTTTCACTCTCTTTCTCGTGCTATCTGTTTTTCTCTCTCTTTATCTTATTGTGTGTTATTATCTCTCTTTCTCTTATTGAGTCTTCTTCTCTCCTTCTCTCTCTTTCACACTATTTCTCATTTCTCTCTCTCTCGTTAACCCTCCCCCCCCTCTCTCTCAATCCCACAATCTCTTTCCACACTCACTTTCACCGTGTCTCAGTTTCCTCTCCCTCTCTTTCACTCTCCTCTTCTCTCTCTTTTTCCATTCTTTTCTTTTATCCCACGGTTTCTTACTAGCCCTAATCTAACACTGTTTTTTTAATTGCTTCGCACACTTTTTCTTATTCACTCCCATTCGTTTTCTACCACTACAAATCTTACATGTAATACTAAGTAGCAATTATTCAGCTTCCACTTACCCGTCGAGTAAAAGGTTCTTCCCAAAATTGTGGTCTTCGTCCCTTAGCCAAATAATCATCCATTTTAATAACATCCTGCCATTGTGACATCTCTTCACTCGTAAGACGTAAATCAGCTGCATCGTAATCCTCCATTTTTATATCCATATAATCATCATTCCCATTGGTGCCATTACCGCTCGTAGCTACACTAGAACTGCCGCTACCACCTGCACCGGAAGCAGATGAAGTCGGTATGCTTACAGTTGTGGCATGCACAAAATCATGAGTCATTAATATGCCATGTTCATTTAGAAAATAACCTTCTGGGGCATATTTGCCAAAATGATGCAGAGGTGGTGGTGGTGGTGGAGGAGGAGCACCTGCAACTGTTGCTAGTCCATGCTTATGTGTTAAATGAGTAGTATTAGAAGTTGAGGAATTTGTGCTTGCTGCTGTACTAGCTGGTGATTGATGTTCCAAAACGTGTTGTACATTTTCAATTTCTTCAACTGGTTGTGGCACTGTCGACGCCTCTTCATTATCTCTTAATGGTAATTCTTTTTCAACAACCAAACGCTTTGGCATACTATCATCACTTATGCGACGTTCCCGTTCTTCTTTAGATATTTTTCGTAACTTTCGTTCTTTAGTTGTTCTTTCTTTTTGTTCTGGAGATTTTGATCTATGTTTTTTTTCATGCTTTTCTGTAATTACCTCCTTTTTACGTACATCCTCAACATGTTCTTTTAGATCTTTTATATCCGACATTTCAGTTTTATTACCATTGATTGGCTGTTCACATTCCGCAACATTCACTTCAAGATTACTCGTTATCCATTCGGGATCAGTTTGCTCATTATCATTCTCCAACTCTGCACTATGTAGACGTTGTTGTCGTTGGTTATGATGGTTGTGTTGTTGTTGTATATGTTGCTGATAAGCATTAGCAGATGTTGTAATTGTATTACTTGCAGCTATTGGATGCTTACTTTGTTGCTGTTCATCTGCATACTGACGCGATTCTAG